ACAATATATATATATACTACATAATAGTGTATATAACATTGTATATATATATATATATATATATATATGATATATATATATAATTATACTGCTACGCAACTTAAACGTAGTTTCGTTAGAACATCACGTGACGTAACGTTGACGCTTTTTGCCATATGGCGTGTGAAAGTATGAGTGTGAGTGAGTGTAATGTTAATTAATTAACGCATTTAATTCATTAAGATGCCGTCGCGGCGCAAATCTTGATATATACGAGGGATGTGTACATACTTACGTTATTACTACATCAATCACGCTCCATTTACCTGCTAGTTTGCTACACCTGTGCTGTCCATTAAATAATGGGCACCATGAGTGTCGCCAAGCATTCATATTATATTCGCGTGCGATATATGATATGAAAAGATTGAGTATAGATGACGCGATACATGAGCGAATGAGTTTTTGGTTATGTACGTACAGATAAATCATTGTTTTCGTGATCGAGCACATGCAGGTGTAATAGTATACATAAGTAAATTTACATCAATATTCACAGGCGGGGACATAAGGTTCGCAAAACAAGCACACCTTCTGTCATATATTGATTATACGTACAAATGGCTCACTTAACTGGGGTGTTCGAGTTATAAAATTATTCTGTTACACTGTAATATTTTAATGAATACCTATATAATATATAATATACATATATGTGTATAAAATATATATCATACTGTTGAAAGTCATCACAGCTTGCGAAATGGCATAAGCGATATGCCACCACTACCGCCGTGTTGGCGGAAGTTCATCAGGTTCAGCATCGTGTGCTGGAATCTTACGACACCGTCCGACGCATGCCCCGTGTACGTGAAGATCCACTGAAACGCCTGCCGTAGACTGGGGACATTGATGCCGTCCACTTCTTTCTCGTAGCCAAACGCCAGGTTCATACGCGGCACGACGCCGATGGCGCGCGTCAAGATGCCCGTCACGTACGCGTCCTCGACGGGTATAGAGGGCGTGCGCGTTGCCGCCTCGTAGAGGGCGCTCACGACGTCCATCGACAGGATGTAGCCAGCGCCCGAGCAGTAGACGGGGTAGAAGGTCTCGTTGAACAAGCTCTCCGGTACGTACCACTTCGACTCGACGTCTCGCTCGGGCCGGTGGTCGTCGTTGGCGCGGCACGACACGTAGCGGGACCTGGTGCCGATCTTCCGCAGGTAGCGGAGGATGTTGTTCATGTGCGCAAACGTGTCGTCGTCCGTCTTGAACAGGTAGCGCGCGTTGCCGCAGTAGCGCGACGCCCAGCGTAGACCCATGACCGTCTTCAGCGTCAGGTTGCGGTACGTGTCGCCGAAGTCCGCCTGCACGAGGTCGCCGTGCGCGGCGCTCTCTTCGACGATCCTTGCCTGCGTCTTTTCGTCTTTTGGTCGGCCGAGCAGGAACAGGAAGCGGCCGTTGTCGCGCGGCTTCGCCCACGTCTCCCGCACCGTCTTCCTGTCGAGGAAATTCGCCGAACCTGAGATGATCATAGTGACGAACTCCAGCCGGGCGCCGGTGGCGCCGCCGCCGCACGCGTGCTCGGCAGTCAGTATGAATGGGTAGGTGTGCCCATCGATACTAAACCCGTCGCCGGCGTCTTGCGACGGTGGCGCTCGCGTCGACGACTGCGACGCTCCCTGGCGACGGGCGACGTTCGCGTACAGCGACGTTATCTTCACTGGACTCGTCTGCATTTTCGATGGCGCTGCGCCGCTGGAGGAATTCGCCGGTGACGACAGCGCCATTTTTGGTGTATCGTATGAGGTGTTTCGTATGCTGACGGGAATAGCGCCGATCCATCGCGCTGAGCGGCGCGCGCGCACGTTGCGTAGTTCTATGCTCAGCAACTGTCTCGTGCTGCGCGAGCTGTGCATCATGTACGGCAGCTGGACGATGTAAATGAGGAAGGAAGTTACGATGAGCAGCACCAGGGGGAGTGGCAGTCCGCACCGGGATCCCATCGCCATCATCCAGCGCTTGTGCTTACCGCGTGACATCATTTTGAGAGCTAAAATAAGAAGGAAGAGAACAATTGGTACAGCTTACACTTTACACACACGCGCGAAAGCACGCATGCACACACACACACACACACGCGCG